GATTTAATTAACAGTATTTATATATAAATATATATAATATATACTTACCGGGGAATATATTATATTTTTGATTGGGTTGCCACACGATTAAAATTGTCAAATTTATTGCGTGTGTAAGGTTTCAAAGATAATATCAATTGAAATGTTTTCTACAATATTTCAATTGAAAGCTTCGAGAAATAACTTACACGACAGTTTTTAGATTTATTTCAAGTGCAAGCTTTCTGATATACTTCAAATGAAATATTTTCCCAAAATGTTTCAACTAAAAGCTTTCAGAAATATTTGTGTTTGAAACATTTCAGATAACGTATTTCAGAATTATTTCAGAATTAGTGCAAATGAAATGTGAAAGGTTGAAATAGTTTTGAAGACTTTCTGAAAGCTTCCTGAAATATTCTGTGCTGTATGGGTCTCGGCACTAAGCCAAGCGCGCGATACTGCCGTGCCTCCTTTACGCGAATTTGACAAATTCGGGGGATTGAGATGATCAGATCTCAGTAACGGCTGAACCGATCAAGTTCTACATACGCTCAATCGACACCAAATACTGAAATTGTATGATAAAAGTGATTTCATTTCTTTTCTACGTGCCCTACGAGTGGAGATATCACGACGCAAAGTCCGGATCTGTGAATTTTCATGTTTCAATTTTAAGATACGTCGTTATTAACGTCAACCAGATAGAAATGTACGTCTCGTTTTTTCGATAATAATAGAAACATAGCACGAGTAACTAATTCATTCAAATTTTTCAATTGATTTTAAATTTCCTGCACTCTATTGTACGGAATAGTGAAACGCATGCGCAAGAGGTCACAGAGTATGAAGAAGGCATATTCATAGCGCTACATGTAATCGGTTTGACGGATTTCCTAACCTCAACAGTCGTCAACTTTAACGCTGGGGAGTCGTGTGGCTCCATGCGATAGACGGTTGACTCGTGATCTGTGGATCCGGGTTCGAATCCGTTTACTCCCCATATACGTGATTTTTTCACGGTTAATGTGTAAGAGTGTGTAAGAAATAGAGATAGTTGATAAAAAGAATAAGAGTTATTAAAGTGAAACAGTGAAATTGGATTGAGATATTAGAGTGTAAATAGATATGAATGTATATTAGGAATTTAAGAATAATAGAATTTGATTACGAGTTGATTACTCGAACTGGATTTTCTTGTGTCATATTGCCTAAGGATTAAGGGCTGAAGACGTGACTGCCGTTCGGATTCGGCGTTAAACTGTAGGTCCAACTAAAAAAAAACTTAAAAAAAACTTTAACGATTAATATCTTTGTTCGGAAGGCAGAGCGACACTTTTTATTGCCAGATTCGTTCGTTTCGTGCAAAAACTCATCGAATGAGTGTATTTTTATCAAAATTTGAACGGAGCGGGCTATACCTTTACCCAGGGTTGGGAAGTAACGCGTTACTTGTAATGACGTTACTTTTTCGTTACTTTTTTTTATTAGTAACGAAAAAGTAACGACGTTATATTTTCTTTAGTAACGAGTAACGAAATTGACGACGTTACTTGTATCGTTACTTCTTTGATTATACACTTTGATAGGTCACGGCCGTCAATAAGGTTATAGTAAATTTCGGATCGTAGTGAAATAGCCCAATGGCATAACTTGTTTTGGAAAAATTCCTAGGGCCAGTCACATCTAGTGACTTATTTATATTATTCGCGTTGGGATTCCCTGTGGCACTTGAATGGGAAATTTCTACTGGGAACGCACTCATAGATATGCCTGTTTGACCGAAAAGTAACGAGACGTATTTCACTGAAATGCATCTCGAAAACATGGCGATTGTAGGACTGTGACCACTATACCTATAGTTCAGTGACTGTGACAGATTTCTTAACCTGAATAGTCGTCACCTTTAACACTTAATATCTCGGTTCGTAGGGCAGAGCGACACTTTTTTCTGCCAGATCTTTCGTTTCGTGCAAAAACGCGTCGAATGAACCTAATTTCATCAAAATCAGTGAATGCATAATGTCTATTGCATAATTACAAAAAAATGTAACGAAAAGTAACGATTTTTTATCGTTACCTTTAAGTAACGGTAACGCGTTATTTCTTAGAATCGGTAACAAGTAACGGTAACGAGTTACTTTTTACCGCAAATAACGGTAACGGTAACGCGTTACATTTAAAAAGTAACTTTCCCAACCCTGCCTTTACCTAACATCCTGTTGTACTTCTCGGTGCAACAAGATATTATTTTGGGATTCGATCCGCTCAAAGGGTTGGAACCCACAAGGAGAACGAGGAAAGTGGTCAAGGTCGTAGAACAAACACACACTGCACCACACTTTTATTAAAATAACCCCTTTTATTTATTATAACACTTACAATTTCGAGTGGTTATTACCACTGATTACATTTAACCCTTTATTGAATTGATATAATTGAATGATTGAATGATTACACTTTGGTGGTTAATTGCTTATGTTACAATTCAAATAGTTGGTTACAATTATCGAATTGATTTAATTAAAGAATATATTCGGGTTAAAGTCCTTGCTCGTGACTTAGACCGGTCGGCGACACTCATTATCGCGGATGTAATATGACTCGGTTCTCGCGACGCGCGTAACGTATCGTTACGTTTAGATGTATGACAAGACTCTCTCGCCGGTTCTTAGACCGCCGAATATATAGGCGTCGCGGAGTCATCGAACTAGCGGCATTCGTGCCGTGTGCAACGCGGACTTCGTCCTCTTGCATTTCGGCAGTTCGTTGTCCTGTCGAAATGCAAGATTTGCTTTTTATTACTAATTGTTCGATGTGCGTGCGGTCATTGCTTGCGTTCGATCAGTGATCGTTGTCCGCACGCGTTATGGAATTTGCAGCTCTGCATTTCCGCAAGTCGTTGCTATGCCGAAATGCAAAGGTTGCTTTGCGGTAGTAATCTTGCATTTCCGCCAGCTCGTTGCTAGGCTGAAATGCGAGACTTAATTGTGGTAGCACTCGTGGGCTACAACAATCCTTTTGTACGCAGGTTTTGAATCTTCCCGATTTAATGCAATCTGACGCGATTGGTGGCCTGGTATCTCTTCGTTACATTAGTTGCTTTCCATTTACACACAAGTGAAACTGAGTCTGAAGTGAACTGAGTATGAAATACTCAGATTAATGACGTCACTACTTGCTTACTTTAGTAAAATTAACAACACAGATTTATAACCTACTTTTAAAGTGAGTCTACGAGACTCAATAAAAGACTCACACGTTCTTGATCTTGTGCAGTTTGTAGATAAAAACTCAGTTGAATCTCACTTCTCAGAATGCAAAAGGAACGCACATTCAACTGAGTTATGACGTCACAAGTAAGAATTGTCTGAGTAAATGAAAAGCAACTATTCACACATGTTAAAATCACCAAGCTTCTTGTTCGTTGAATCCACGCACGCTTCTGGTTCGTGGAATTACCGTGGAATTATTACAAATGTCTTCAATATTGTATCAGGTAGGTTTCATAATATTTATTAATTTGTTCTCTCTATTCTTTATTTTATATAATTATGAAAGAATTCTTTGTGCTATATTTAATTTCCAGATTTATTGAACGGAAAGGCCTGAATCCAATTATACTAAAATATTCTGAATCTTGATTTTCTCGCTGTGCTTATTTTGTGAGTTGCCTTTTATTTTATTATTATTTATTTCACTGGTAGTTACCTCAATTTTTTCTCTCTATTCTTTATATAATTATAAAATAATTGATTCTTTGTGCTTTGTTGAAAGGAAAAATCTGAAAAGAAAAAATGTATTCCGATCTGTCTGTATCCTTTCTTAAAAAAGGCATGTTAAATCGATACTCGAATGTATCGAAGTTTATTGTTGTCGCTTTTCCGCGATGATGATTGGTTCCCTCGCGTCGCTTACTTCGTCATCGCGAAGATTTTGACGTTGACACGCGTGAACGTATTGAGGTTACTGAGGTTAAAAGCGTAAAAAACTTTGCTGTTCAAGATCGTCTCGCAATCAGATAAGTTTATAACTTTTATTAATTTATTTCTTCTAATTTTTTGTAGTTTGTAAATCGATTCTTTGTGTGGTATTTGATTTTATTCTTAGTTAGAAAGAAAAGGAGACATGTTACATTATTCTTCAAAAAAGAGTATAGAAAGGTTTAAAGGAAGGGAAGGAAAGGAAAGGAAAGAAGACAAGAAAGGAAGACAAGAAGTATGATTTATACACAGTAGGGTATCGATAGTTAAATTTTTCGTTATTAGAGCTTAATATTTTAATAACTTTATGACAACTTTACTCATGTTTATATTGTAGAATTTAAAGTAGTCTTTTGAAACGATACAAAAATTATTTTCCATGTTCGTAATGTGAGACTTGAAGAGATTATAAAAATCGCTTGTACAGTACTCGTAATATAAAAATTACGTAAATAAAACATACGTTTCGATTCCAATCGGGTCATTTTCAATGTTACAATTAATACAGAAAAATTAATTCAGAAAAATTTAATAAGAATCATTAAGTTCTGAGTTGAAATAATTGTAGACATCTTAATGTGTGTGATAAGTTCCATTTCGTAAATTATATGTGTACCGAACTGTACGTTAATTCATGAAAATGATGCTAGACTGTTACTAACAAACACTTATTTATTCAATAAACTCAGAATACAAAATACTTAATAAGACGTAAAAAGGAATCGCAAAAAAATCCAAACGGGATCGGTGCGCAGTACACGTGTCGGATTAGAATATAATAGAATAATGGCCGTCATCTCCTTCTTCTTCTTCGTTCGCGCGAAAACGATATAGACGGCGCTAATACTCGTGAACATAAAAGGCGCGTTTTCATATAGGTTTGAACACAACGAGTGACGTACAGTTAATGAATATAATTAATAACTAAATATTAAACATCCCGCCGGCCTTGCAAGACGAAGACGTGCAAAAACTGTTTGTGGATAAGAAAATAACACGAATATAGTAATATGATTAAGAATAATGTAACAATATAAATTAGGTGTCGATTGGAAGAATACATATTTTAGGAAGACTACGTTGAACAACTCCGTTTGATGTTCTTACATCTAGAATCCTTATTAATCCATCCTTTCCTGGATGTACGGCAACAATTCTTCCTAAGCGCCAGTGCATTGGAGGTGTGTTTTCATCTCGCAATAAGACCATCATACCGATTTTTATGTCAGCCTTTGATTCTTCGGTCCATTTGTGTCGTTGTTGGAGTTGAGTTATATACTCCTTTGACCACCTCTGCCAAAAATGTTGTCGCATCTGTGTTAACAATTGGTGTCTGGTTAAACGATTGACTGGTGTCTCGGACACATCCAATTCCGGCAGCGAAGTTAAAGGCACGCCGATCAGAAAATGAGCTGGTGTTAATGCAGCTAAATCCATCGCATCATCAGTCAATGGACAGAGAGGTCGCGAATTGAGACAGGCTTCTATCCGTACCAGCAGCGTATATAGTTCTTCATAACTAAGTGGCGTTGTTCCAATGATTTTTCGCAGATGAGTTTTAGCAGACTTGATAGCAGCCTCCCATAATCCTCCCATGTGCGGTGAATGTGGTGGGATGAAATTCCACTTAATCGAATTTTCAGCCAAAAAATCTGATATTTTGGCATTGTGTTCCGGTTTTCGCAAAATGTCAGCGACTTCTCGCAACTCGTTATTCGCGTCAATGAAATTTTTCGCATTATCTGAATAGAGGTTTGCGCATTTACCTCTACGTGCTATAAATCTTTGTAAGGCTCTGATGAAAGCCTGAGTGCTTAAGTCTACTGCTAATTCTAAATGTATTGCGCGTGTAGTAAAACATACGAAGATGCATATGTATGCTTTATCAGTCTTGTTTCGCGATATTTTTATAGTAAAAGGCCCGCCGTAATCGATTCCTGTATTTAAAAACGGACGACTTGTCGTTATACGCGTTGTAGGTAAATCACCCATTCGTTGGTGTAACATTGGAGGTTTAGCGCGAAAACAAATGATGCATTTTCGTAATACATCCTTTACAGTGCATCGACCATGAAGTGGCCAAAATTGTGTGCGTATTGCTGCTAATAAAGCTTGAGGACCTGCATGTAAATGCTTGTAATGCTCATGAACAATAATTAATCGAGTTAATGGATGTTTTGACGGTAAGATAATTGGATACTTCTGAGCATAAGGAATAGGCGCGTTTGATAATCTGCCACCAACTCGCATCACATTGTGATCGTCTAAAAACGGGACTAATGAACGTAACTTACTGGTCTTGCTTACTTGACCGTGTACCTTTAAATTTCGTATATCGTCAGCAAAATCGCGCTGTTGTGCTAATAAGACTAAAATCGTCATAACATTTTCCAATTCTGTCACCGTTAACGGCCCTACATTCCTCGATTCAGGCTGTAACACGTTTTGTTTAAATCGTATGCAATATCCGATTACTCGTTTTAACCTTGTTAATGAAGAGAATCTCAAGAACAACTCGTCACTATCGTTTGTTTGACTATGAAAGACCCTAGTAGGGTTTCGCTCCTCGAGAAGATCCTCATTAATAACAATGGTTTCATCAGAAGATGGCCAATCCTTAGTCTTCAGCCAGTCAGGACCATTCCACCATAGATGACAGGTTTTTAAATAAGTTGGATTTGTTCCTCTTGATATTATATCAGCAGGATTTTCCTTCGAGTTTACATGACTCCATTTTGCTTGCATTGTTAATTGTTGGATCTCCGTAACTCTATTTGCAACGAATTGCACCCATCGTGATGGCTCACCTTTTATCCAGGCGAGTGTGATTGTGGAGTCGCTCCACAAATACGTCCAGTCCGGAGTTATTGTTAATGCTTGAAGAACTTGTTGATATACCTCGGCCAATAAGAGAGCTGCACAGAGTTCTAATCTTGGCAATGAAACGTTTTTCAATGGTGCAACCCTTGATTTTGCACATAATAGATTGACCGTTGCATCTCCGCGACTGTTAACAGTTTTAATGTAAATGCAACAACCATATGCGATTTCTGACGCGTCACAGAAACCATGTATTTCCATAATATGGTACTCCTTGCTAAATGCATGTCGAGGAATTAAAATTTCAGGTATGTGTTGTATTTAATCTTGAAAATATGACCATTTTGATTGTAATTCGATAGGAACCGGATCATCCCAATCGATCTTGAGACGCCAAAGATCCTGAAGTAAAAGTTTTGACCGCACTGTAATCGGTCCGATTAAACCGAGTGGATAAAAAATCTGCGAATTAATGGATAGTAAAACTCGTTTCGTTAATTTTGACGGTTGAATCCTCGAACTGATCCTGTTTTGGAAAGTATCCGAATTCGTCCTCCATATGAGGCCCAAAGTATTTACCTCTTTATCAAAATTCACTAAATCTGTAGCTTCTTCTTCCTCAACAGAAAGTATCGATTTTTCGTTTGAATTCCACTTATGTAGTTCAAACTGTCCGCTGCGTAGAACATTAGTAATATCCTTCTTTAAAGTCTTTAATTGTTGTAGATTATTTCCGCCCGTTATTAAGTCATCGACATAGAAATCTTGTTTGATTGTTTCGCTGACTTCAGGCAAATCAGTTTGGCATTCCAAGGCTAACTGATATAGACATCTTATAACAAGAAAAGGCGCACTTGCTAGTCCGTACGTGACAGTATTCAGTCGAAATGCTTGTGTTGTTCCGGAAGGTTTTCTCCATAGAACTCGTTGTAAATCCCTCTGGTCAGGTTGTAATAAGACTTGCCGATACATCTTATGAATATCAGACGTAATAACATAAGTATGTTGTCGAAAACGCAAAATAATATTGAACAAAGTGTTCTGAACGGTCGGTCCCACTAGTAATATATCGTTGAGAGACTTGCCTGACGTCGTCTTACATGACGCGTCGAAAACTACACGTACTTTAGTAGTACTACTTGTTGATTTAACAACTGCGTGATGTGGAATGTAAATTGCATGTTCGTCATTGTCTTCGGTTTCTCCTATTTCACTCATGTGACCCAATCGTTCATACTCCTGCATGAAATCGATATACGCTTCTTTCAATTCAGCGTCCTTGTAAAATTTTCGTTCTACAGATCGTAAACGTTTCTCAGCAATCTCTCGTGATTTTCCGAGTAATGATATCGAACTCTTCATTGGTAATTGTACGATGAACTTTCCATCATGATCACGTTGATGTGTGGATGCGAAATTGTCTTCACATAACTGCTCCTCTCGCGTATAAGGTTTTGGTATTACAACTTCCTCCAGTTGCCAAAAACGTTCGAGCTGTTCTTGGATTTGCGTGTTTAACGATAAATAACTTTGTGACGTGTTACACTGAATCGAGGATTTACAAGGTACGTATGCACCACCAATGATCCAGCCTAATTTCGTTTCTTGCAATATCAGTTGATTATTGCTTAAATTAATGCGTCTTTCCTGCAATAAATTATAAAATAGTGCAACGCCGATCAACAAATCAACTTTAGCCGGAATATTGTATTTCGGATCAGCTAATAAAATAGTTTTAGGAATCGTGAATTGATCTACATCAAATTTGTCTGATGGTACCACACCAGTAATTGTCTTTACGACGAGACAAGATAATTCTGTTTGATACTCGTTATATTTTGATTTTATAACGGTAGTGGTTCTGTTATTCACAAAAACGTTTGTTTCACCGATACCATTGATTAAATGGTTTATTTTAAAAGTCTTTAATTGCAATCTTTGACATAACTCCTCTGTCATGAAATGACTCTGAGACGCGGAATCGAGTAAAGCCCGACATTCTTGGTAATGACCGTTATGATCGCGTACAAGAACTATTGCTGTGGATAACAGAGATTGCACTACACCTTTATTAGCACAATGTGATGTCGTAGCTGTGGTGCTAGTTCGTACGGAAGAATCGCTCTCGCCCTTTTGGCTTGAGGTTTCACTTGACTCAACATTGACTGATTTAGTCTGTGAATTATCACTGTCAAGATGTAACATCGTGTTATGTCGACGTTTACACCGTTGACAACTACCGAAAGTACATTCACGTTCAGGATGAGAACGTAAACAATTCAAGCAAACCTTCAATCGTTTCGCTTCTCGTAATCTTTCGTGGCTCGACAACTTACGAAACGACGGACATGCGTACAGCCAATGTGAGTTTTTACATAATGGACATAGCTTTTCTGCAGGAGATTGTAAAGTTACGGATTTTTTCTGAGACTTTGTATTAGTCGAAGAAGCATCTTTTAATTGGTTAGGCAATAATGTCTCAAGAATCGAACAACGTTTATTTAAAAAATCTATGAATTCAGCCATGCTAGGCAAAGTCGAAAATTCTCTTTTAAATTCCCATTCTCGTTTTGTTTTAAAATCGAGTTTAGGAGTGAGCAAATGAATTAATAATATATCCCACGATTGAACGGGTTGTTTAAGCTTTGTTAATGCAACCATGTGTTGTTGTATGTCGTCAATTAACTTTCTCATGCCGGTGCATGATTCCTTTGTGAGTACTGGCAAATCAAGTAACGCTTGAATATGATGATGTACTATTAATCTTTTATTTTCGAATCGCGACTTTAATAATGTCCACGCTGCGTCATAATTTTCGTTTGATAAGCTTAACGATTGAAAGCATTGAGCTGCGCTGCCCTTAACTGCTGATTGCAGATAATAAAACTTTTGTACTTTCGATAGATTCGCATTAGAATCAATAATAGCTTCAAATGTATTGCGAAATGTGATCCATTGATCGTACTCACCGTTAAACGTTGGCAAGTTTATATCAAGTAATTTTAATAATGAATTTGTAAGGGTAATATTATCGATAGTTGGCGACGAGGTTACCTCTTTCGATGTACTCGGGCTTAACCTAGCCACAGTATTCCTTCCTAACAGTATCGCAGTGTAAAAAGCGTCCTCGAATCTTGTACGCTCATCTGTATCTACGTCGGTCAACGCTTCAATTTGTGACTGAACTTCGTCGTATTCAGAAAATAACCTCTCCGCACGTTCTAACCTCAATGGTAATTCCTGATTTTTGGATGTATCGATATCCAATTTCCTCAAGAACGTCTGAAATGTCGTAACCTTCGCTTTTATAATGGTTCGTTTCTTCGTTAACTCATCTACGGACATTGTGAATATGGACATTATGACCAGACAAACGATTAATTTGTGAATGAAGCACACGAGTTGGCTTCTATGAATATATCGAACGTTGTTGTCAAAATAAGACAAGAAAAGACGTATGTTTGGAACGAACTTACAATTTTGTCGCCAATATCGTTACATCTACAGAACAGCTTCGAAATTGCACACCGATGCCGAAAAGATCTCGCGTTCTATACATGTGCCGAAAGATCCGGCTCGAAGGACCAAATGTACCGAACTGTACGTTAATTCATGAAAATGATGCTAGACTGTTACTAACAAACACTTATTTATTCAATAAACTCAGAATACAAAATACTTAATAAGACGTAAAAAGGAATCGCAAAAAAATCCAAACGGGATCGGTGCGCAGTACACGTGTCGGATTAGAATATAATAGAATAATGGCCGTCATCTCCTTCTTCTTCTTCGTTCGCGCGAAAACGATATAGACGGCGCTAATACTCGTGAACATAAAAGGCGCGTTTTCATATAGGTTTGAACACAACGAGTGACGTACAATTAATGAATATAATTAATAACTAAATATTAAACAATATGAGTTCGCATTCTTTATTTTATATTTCAGGTCAATGTTCCATCAATTCGTTCCGCTCGTGTATCTGTTTAGCGATGCTGTTCAACAGATTATCAATCGATATAGCGACGAAACCGATTTTCTGATGCGATACCATTGCAAAATATTTGCACACTTGTTTCCGACCATATAACTGGACATTTCTCGAAAAAATCCGTCGGCACGGAAAAGACGACGAAACTGCCACCATAAAATTTTTCATTCTCGTAATTAGATCCTTGATAAGGGTGAGAATCGTGTCAATTTGGCGACAACGATATCCAATTGTTATCCAGCATACGAAACATGACGATTGTCTTCTTTAAGATGACTTTATCAAATGTCGTACTCCAAAAGACAAACAAGAAGTATGATTTATACGTACACAGTTGGGTATTGATAGTTAAATTTTTCGTTATTAGAGCTTGATATTTTAAATTATATGAGTTCGCATTCTTTATTTTATATTTCAGGTCAATAAAGTAAGATAGCAAAAAGTGACATTCTTGTCATTCTTGTCCTTTGAAACATGAAAAAAATAGTATCACAGTTTAAGCTAATTTGCAAATCACGTTATCTGACATCACTCAGATCGTATGTTTTAGTTCTGCAAATTAGAGCTTAAATTGTGATACTATTTTCTTCATGTTTTAAAGGACACTTAGCATTTTACTTATACAATTGATAAGAATGTCACTTTTTGCTATCTTTTTACTTTATTGACCTAAAATATAAAATGAAGAACGCGAATTCATGTAATTTACGAAATGGAATTTATCACACACATTAAGATGTCTATAATTATTTCAACTCAGAATTTAATGATTCTTATTTAATTTTTCTGTATTAATTGTAGGTTGAATATAGGCAAATCTTCAGATTACTCTCTTAAGCGCAAACTGTTCGATCTTTACTGTCAGTTTATCATCAGGCTTTGTGAGCAGATCCTGTTCGATTTCTGCTGTCAGTTTACCGTCAGGCTCTGTGAGCCGATCCTGCTCGATTTCTGTCGCCAATCTGCTATTGGATTCTGTCAGTAGGTTCTGTTTGATTTCTGCTGCCAATCTGTTTGCATAGAATGTTAACAAGTTATGTCGACAGAATAGGAACAGAATGCGACATCAGTTGAGGTCAGCCTGCTAACATCTTCTGATCAAATCAGCTATCAGTCTGACGACATTCTGCTAACATTTTACTTTCTGGGGACATATGTAATCAAGATGTGAAGGTCCTGATAGTAAAGCCTGCGAAAACAGACTAGGTGCAGAGCCTGTTGAAAATTTTTGATTGCAGATTGGCAACAAATTGACAGTGGCCCGTATTCAGAACGCGCTAACAACGATGTTAGCGCGCTAACATTCTATACGTCACGTTCTTTACGTCACGTATACTATAGAATTTCAGAGATACAAGCGCGCTTTTATCGATAAAAGTGCGTTCTGAATACGGGCCAGTCTGTATTATCAGATATTGTTAACAAACTGCTGCTAAACTGCTAACAACGTCTGCTGACATATTTTGCAGCAGATTGGTTGCAAAAACCGAGCAGTCTTCTGACATGATCTGACAGCAGATTGTCAGCTGATCCTGCTAATAGAACTTGACTACAGATTGGCAGCAGAAACCGCGCAAGATTTGTTATTTTCATACATGGCCCAGTCATGAGATGGACTAAGTCTTTTTGACGTTACGAAGAGTTCTCTATGATTTTTAATGACATATGCGCTTAATAATCATTTTTTAATAATTTTTAAAAAATGGGGTGTTAACTTTTTAACGAAATTCAAGGTCGCATAATTCTAATCAGCTTAACAGAACTATTTTGTGAATACTTCGAGTTCTTAATATATAAAAAACATTTTTGAAGAAAAATAAAATTTAAAAAAATAGTAGAAATCTTTGAAAAATTGTTTGATGGTACCGAGTAGTTCTGAGTAACGTTTCTTATAGTTTACGACGAGTCCTATTGAAAACTATTAGGTGCAAAAGCGATTGAACCAACGGTTTGCAAGATACAACGATATTTGTCAGAAGATCAACAATTTTTAGAGTGAGTATATCTCAGAAACCGTTGGTCCAATCGCTTTGAGCCCTAAAACTTTTCGACAGAACTCGCCGAGAACTGTCCAGAACTCCGAACAGAACTACTCGGTACTCTCAAAAAATTTTTCGACCTGGGACATGGAAAAAAATCTTACGTCAAAAAATTTTTGAGAGTACCGAGTAGTTCTGTTCAGAGTTCTGG